CGTCCATGCCGCCGGCTTTAATGGCGAGGGAGATGGGGCAGCTAGGGTTTCTAATGGGAGGTCCGGGTTTGAGCTTGGGGACGATAGGATGGGGTGTTCGTATAGGGGGCGTGGGGTGTAAGGGAAGGCTTATATATGGTCTAGGGGTTTAGATCTGAGCCGTTGGATTAGATGATCTCAACGGCTTGGATCTGATGGTGAGGGGTGAGACGAAGCCGTTTGGTATTAAAACGGTGTCGTTTGGGCTTAAGGGATGGATTGGGTTGGACCAGCTAACCAGGTCGGGTCACGGGCGCGTATGTGGACCGTTGGATCAAGAGGCTTGGACGGCTCAGATTGATTTGCCTGAAACGGCGTCGTTTCGGGAGGTGCCTGGGCAGGCCTGGTCTGGACCGGGTCCTTGGTCGTGGCTGAAGTGGGATGGACTTGGGCCTCAATTCCAAATAGGCCCAAGTCCGATTTACTACATCATATGCATTTTCTTTTGTTTTTCCAAATTTTTTCCTTAAAAATACAATTAAATTAAAATGAACTTGCCACATCCAACTAATCAATACTTAACACAATTATTTACACACATACTAGAAAAAATCTAAATGGTTAAATCACAACCTAGACTAAAAGATGCATATATATTTTTTGAATTTTCTTTTACTGACCGAATTATGGTTTAATCACCCTGAGATACATATTTTGTATTTTGTTTGTTAATGATTAAATGCAAAATGGACAGATCCACAAATGACTAACAACACATGTCACGAAAAACTCGAACAATTGTACAGCGAAGTCATTTGTCACTATTTTTGTTTTCTTTTGGAGCGATTGTCTGTGAAGCAAAAATCACGTGCTTACAGCTGCCCCTCTTTGCCCGAAGACACGAAGGGTTTTCGCGCAAAGAAAAAGCGAGTGATTTTTGCCCGTCCGAATACTCCGTGTGAAGCATTTTTTGAAAAAGATTTGACCAAACCTTTGCTTCAAAGNACCTCCTCTGCCTCAAAGTTAGCTCCTTCTGCTTGAACAAGTATTGCAAACTCTTGTGATTCGTGAACACCTTACATGACACACCATATAGATAATGCCTCCTAATCTTCAACGCGTGGACAATGGCTGCTAATTCCCAATCATAAACCGGATAGTTCCTCTTATGAATCTTTAACTGTCGCGAACCATAGGCAATGATTAATCCATTTTCATGTCCCAAACCTAAAGCCATGGTTAAGTTTCAAGATTTCATACAGTTATAGTTTAGAAGAACTAGAGTACCAAGTTACAATATAGTTCAATGACCCATCCAACACCCGTATATAATCCACACAAACGTCTACGGAGCCTCTAAGGATACAAAAGACAATAATGACAATGCCGGCAACAAGGTCCCAGCTATACCTCAAAAGTGAATATCTATAACAAAAGATGTACAACATAACCCCTTGAAAGAGAAAGAGGCTCACCAAGCCTTTGAGAGGAGGATGCTCTGCTATGCGCGATCGGCACTATCCGCTATGGAGCCACCTACATTCATTTAAAAATGTAGCGCCCCCGGCAAAAGGGACGTTAGTACCATGGAATAGTACTAGTATGTATAACTATACACCTTCCAGTTAGAAAGAACAACCATACAAGAGTAAAAAGAAATCATAAGGACAACAATCTTCGAATTAAGCACCACATCAACAATATAAGAGGTTCACATAGTTTTCACATAATTTCTGAAATTTTAGACTGGGGCAGTCCATATCATTGCATCATCATCCACATTACCACCGCTTTCTTGAGCGGAGTCTGATCACGGGCTGATCGGCTAAGCCGTATTATCAAGACGTTACCCTTATTTCATTTCCCACTTTTCAGTTTCAATTATCTATATATTACCACCATGTGTGTATAACATGGCGTCCGATCACGGCCCGATCGGCTAAGCCGTATTATCAAGACGTTACCCTTATTTCATTTCCCACTTTTCAGTTTCAATTATCTATATATTACCACCATGTGTGTATAACATGGCGTCCGATCACGGCCCGATCGGCTAAGCCGTCTTACCAAGACGTTACCTTTTTCTGTTGATCATTCCCACTTCAATCTTTGGTTCCACATATATTAGTTCATTGGCACTTGGGGCCACAATTACCACATTTCATAACTCACGTTTCCCATTATTCCCATTTTCAACATTAGCCCTGCCATTTCAGATCATAGGCACACATAAAAGCAATTTAAGTTATAAGCATAGAGGGGAATTTATCTAGTTCGGTATATTAATCACAATGTAACCTTGACTTGACATTTAGGCATTTAACACATAGTTCATGTTCACCACACATCCTTAATTTATAAAGAATAACACATTAAACACATAGAGAAGCACCTTCCACATGTACTCTCACAACATCAATTTATTCGGCATAACAAGTACTACATCAATCAAATTTCGGACTTACAACATTTGTTCGGGTACCATGGAGGCTCAATTTCTAAGAGGATGGCGTTTTAGCCATACATACCTTAATAGAGCTTTCCTTAAATCATTATAATAAATTTCGGAATTTCCTAGCAACCTCGATCTATTTTGTGAAAATTATAAGTTGAACCAAGAATTAGAGGCATGGATAAGATTCTAGCTCATTTAAGTAAATTATCAAGCACTAAGTGTGCACAGTAAATTTTAGGACCCTTTTGTGAGAAAATTTCATCATCCTATACCATAATTGTTATCTTTTTGGTTCACAACCTCCCCATACCCCATTATCTTTTATGCATGCAAGATTATCAGCCGTTATACCCATGAACCCACTTGCTAATCACTTATTTTAATAGAAATTTCGAAATTATAGATGAGGGTACAAGTTCTTACCTCTTATGGTGAAGACCTAGCAATTTCACTTGACAATCTTCAAGGATTTGGGGCAAGGATTGAGTGGGGACTTGATGGAGATCACTCTCTCTCTCTCTAGAACTTCCTCTCTCACTCTATATGTCGTGAAATAATAGAAAAATGGTCTAATGGGGTGTTTTTAATGGGATGAGGTCGGGTTTTAAAAGTTAGAAAATAGGAGCCCCTACACGATCTGCGATCGCATAATGGACATGCGGCCCGCAGAATGGACAGCAAAAATGGCCCCAAAACCTGAACACACTGTCTGGATATTGTCACACCCCTTTTCTACCCCTCAAAATAATAATAATATGTGTATGGGCCAAAGAGTTTTTCCAATTAAAGTGACAAATTTGAATAGCGATTATTTTATTGTTCAGAGTCGCCACTTAGAATTGATTTTTTCGGTGTTCCAAGTCACCATTTATTTGGATCCCTAGTCAAAGGAAGGTTTGACTCTATTTTAATCGGTCCGCGAAAACAAAGTTCGGGTAAGGAATTCTGTTGACCGGGGAGAAGGTATAAGGCATTTCCCGAGTCCCGTGGTTCTAGCACGGTCGCTTTGTTGACTTAAACTTGGCTTGAATTAATTTTGGACAAACTGTGATTTATATTATTTTCATGTTTTACCTATCCTCTCTTATCTCTTGATTATTAGAAAAAATTAAAGAATATTTTTGAATAATAAGATGTCATAACCACACTACGCAAGCGAATGAGTGATCGACGAAATTTATTATTTAGTCATAACGGTGCCACGCAAGCGAATCCGCAGTCATGACAGACGATTGTTAGCACGTTATTTACTTTTGAAAAATTGCTGCAATTGTGTTGGAGGAAACATTAACCCTCTTTTTTTCAGAAAATTTATTAAATGTCACTACCACGCTACGCAAGCGAATCCGTGATTATGACAAAAGATTTATAAATTAATTAAAACTATTGAATATGACATGAAATTGATGAATTAACTTATTAAAAGTTAAGCGTCACGCTACACAAGTGAGTCCGTGAAGTTAAAGCGCACCTACTATTTGCCTAACGTTTAAATTAATTAAAGGGAAACTAGTTAATTAAAATAGTAGAAAAATCTGATATTATTATTATTTTTTCGAGCTTTATAGTTGGGAAAAAATATGCAAATAAATGTTGGACCAACTTTATATATTTTAAAAGAAATGAGTCAACTTCTTGTTAAAAAAAATGGGTCAGCTTGTATGGAGCTTTTGGGCTGCTGGAATTTATTATTAAAATGGGCCAAGAAATGAATTTCCATTGTCCCAATGCTATATAGAAGAAAAGGGGTAATTTTGTTGTTTAAAGGTAAATGGACCAACTTTTATCTTTGATTCAATAAGGCCCAAAGTTGATACAATCTTAGCTCTTTACTTAGTTTGCGTTCATGACCATTAACTACATAGTCACAATTGTATAAACGCCCACTTTACAAATATAGCCATTTTTGCAAATCCGGCAAAATAGCTAGATTCACAAAGATATTATCACAGCATTCCTAGAAGCATATGTTGGCAGTGAAATTTCAGTAACTAAACCAAACTCATGCTATGTGTTATACACCTTAAGTCATTCATGGCATACTTAGCATTGTTACTCGGATATAATAACTTGAAAACATGCTTAAAAAATCCATAAACGACTTAGATATCACATTCAAAAACTTACAACTCAATATTCAAGTATTATGAAGGACTATATTCACATTATCACATGCATGATACATAACAATAACATACAAGCTCTTTTGTTGTCAAACTATTCATCACATCAAACACATTTAAATGGTGAAGTATGTTCAAGTTGTTCCCATTGCTGAAAATACGTACATTACGAGTCTTAAAGGATTACCTGGTAGCAAAAGAATAAACAGTAGTTCAACAACTAAAGCAGCACAAAAACAAAAGCAAAACAGCAGCAAAACCAATAGCAAATCCGTGTTAAAACAACCCGAAAACTTAGAGAGGGAACCCATAAACGAACTCTAAAGAGGACTTATACTTTTTTTAAAAGTTTGCACTCTAAGATTCACTCCCAAAGCTCACCATTTCAGCTTACTTTTCATGTGTTCAACTGCTGAATTTTTTTTGTTTTTGTGACAAAGCAATTATAAAAAAATGCCCCCTGGAAGTGTGATGGAGTCCCCCCTCTATATAAAAAACACCCGCTATTTCAGAAAAATAAAAATCAATCTTTTTGACAGATTTTTCTTCAAAATCTTCTCTTAAATTCAAAAGGCCAAACTTTTTGGTTCAAATCTTGTCAAGTATTTCAAACAAATCTGCTCTCCACTATTTAAAGACAGACTTTTCTTCAAACACTGTCCAAAGATCTACATTTTCTTACCAAACAATTTGACTTTTGAGTGTTGTACTGAAAGAGTCTTCAGCAGCAAATAAACAACCCAACAAGTATCATATACTCTTAAGTATTTTTCTCTACCTCACTTTTATCAACACAATACTATTTTACTACTTCAACAAGTGCAAAAACAGAAAATTTAACATTTCAAACATCAAACACTAATGTTAAAATAATTAATAATAGACAAAATAAAAACTGAAAAATAAAAATAAAAATAAAAAATCAGCCATGAAAAAGAATAGGATTTTACCATTTTACAATTCATGTGGCCGAAAAAATGGTGGTATGCCAAAAGAGGGTGTTCGGGGAGGTCGCCGGAATTTGGCCGGATTTTCAGGGTGAATTGGCATCAATAGCTAGGTCTTGAGGAGATCTATCCATTGATGTAGGTATTGTGGGGTGGTAGTGGTTGGAGCTTCAATAATTTGGGCAAAAAAGTGACGGGAAAGTTTCCTAGATCTAAGATTCAAGGAGTTTGAGGGATTTTTGAAGGATTTGGTTTGGAGATATTGAAAGAGGAAGTTGTGGAGATTACATGGTGTGAATTTGTAGGTGTTTGGAGGTGGTCCGCCGGCGGCGGTGGGGCGGCGGCAGCGGCTTTGGGGTAGAGAGAAGAGAGAGTGATGAGAGGGAAAGAAGAGAGAGGAAATAATGGGGAAATGGGGCAAATTTTTGGGGATTTTAGGCTTTAAATACCTAGGATGAAGATCAAACTAGGACCGTTGGATTAAATCAAGCTGGGTGGATGAGATTGAATCTTGTCACTTAACCAAAACGACGTAGTTTCAAGACAAAACTACGT